GGGGGACTTGCTGGTTCTCCATTGGTTTTTTCCCTTTTGGGTCTACCTCTGGTTCCCCTGGATTAGCTGGCGGGGGAGAAAATAATGGAGCTGCTACCGATGATTTATGAGCCTCAGACGACGTATGACGCAGACTGGCCGGCGTAATTGATGATGAATAGGGCTGACCTTCTTGTCTAACATAATTTTCATAAATCTCCCTGCAAAGGCCCTGCTTGATCGGTAGGGGCTTTCCCACTACACGGAGCTTGACATCACCCTCCATGATGTAGGTATCATCTGTGGAGATGTATCTGAATTTAAATCCCTAGGGATTTCACTCTGATCTCTCACTTGGATCATGACCTTGCAATCTTTTGCATTAGACTTAAGCAGGACATCATCTGAGAATGCTATGACTACTCTAACTTCTTCAAGAAGCTTCATGAGAAAGTCAGGATCCACAGATGAAGGGGCAGTCCTAAGATTTCAACCCAAATGTAGACTGATTTAGGAAAAGAAACTAGGCCCTTGTCTTCTGACCAAGGATAGAAAACTCCATCGAAAGCCCCCATATCAAAGAACTCCTTTTCACAAGCCTTAGAGAGGATTTCCTCATTTGGGAATTCTAAAAAGAAAGATGAAGATGAAACACGCCTAATCTTGTAGGACCATCTGTCAACCTTTAGGTGAAACTCCAGATTTTCTATGAGTTCCTTCAAAGAAGGATTACCCACCTGGAGATCAAAGAAACCAAAGGAGGAATATTCTTCCATATTGGAGATGACTGAGGGAGGAAGAACGATATTAGGTATGAAAAGAGAGGGAGGTTTGGGAGATTTGGGAATGATGCTAATGGAAGAAGGGTTTCTCCTATTAGGGCAGACCATAGAAGTATGACCTACCCTGTTGCAAGCAAAGCATTTGAAATCTCCTAAAGAACAGTTCTTGGCCATATGAGCAATACTGCCGCAGAGAAAACACCTCAATGGTTTGGGGGAAGGATGGGGAGAGGAAAGATTACCAAATTTTGGTTTTTTCTTGTATGAGACTTTGGTCCAACCTTCTTCAGGGATGGGGAGAATACCCTTGCCTGAAGACAAAGATTTTCGGAGGGAGGATTGTGGTAGAATGCTCTCGAAGGATGAGAACGGAACCGAAGAAGGATGGGTGGAACTGGGGTTTTTGAAGAGGTATGCGAAGGAAGTATAGGGCTTTGGTAAGGAGGAATTTGAGGGGATGGCCAGGGAAGAATGGAAACTAGAAAAAGGTTTAGGGTTGGGCGGAGAGACCAAGGAGGGAGGAGCTGTGGGCGGAGCAGCAGGGGAGAAAGGAGAGATAGAGATGTTACCGTTGTTGAAAGTGGCAACTCGCCGCCTGTTTAAGAGGATTGTTGTCTGGGTACGGGAGCCACCTTTTTCGCTTCTCCAATCGCCTCTTCGCCTCCTCCATCTTATTTTTGGTCAACTATTCTTTACCTTGTTTAATTTCTTTCCCAATTACGTATGTAGTAGATATATGCGGCTAAAGAAACAAACTTACCATGATGTCATACTTCTATTTGAAAGCTGGTAAATTTATCATAAAAAAATCCTCTAAGCACAACTGTAGCCAGTAATAATTAACAAATTTAATCTCACAAGCTTTCCATACTTTTCCCCCTAACAAAGATGTTTCACATTAACTCATCCTAATAAATGAAATGTTTAAAGGGTAAATTGCACTAAACACCCAATAACTTTTAGCATTTTAGAGCAAACCCCAATAACTTTCAAAATCGCACTAGACCCCCAATAACTTTTGTAGAAAACCTTCAATATCTTTTGGGCAAATTACAGTAAACCCCCTATATGTTTCAAAATGCCTTTTTACATATGTTGTTTTTTGGTTCTAATTTATGAAGATTATCTGGAAAACACGAAAACCTATTGGGTATTTACTGCAATTCTAAAAAATTATTGGGTATCTAGTGCGATTTCAAAGTTATAAGGGCGTTTACTGCAAAATTCTGAAAGTTCTTGGTGTTTTAGTGTAATTTACCTTTGTTTAAAACGTCCTACAAAACATATGGGTACGAAAAGTACCTGCGGTTGTTCATACTGAATTTTAAAATAAATTCCGAGGTTTTATATATGCTCGATAGTGCTTATAAGATGCTCTTCATCTATTGCTCTATAACAATTTCCTGCACGTGCATGTGTATGAGCCGTACACATGGACGTGCTAGTTTTTATTTAGCCAACATCATAATTAGTTTAATCATGTAACTTCTTTAAATCATACTCTCAGCTAATGAACTTCATAGCTCATGTCAACATCTCGCTTGAGAAACATTACTTGGCGCTACACGATATTAGGGGTCTGGCATTAAGTATTAATAAGTCACTGAGAAAACTCGCATGCTTTCAACATCGTATAATTGAAAGATAAAATCTTTGAGAAAGAAGGAACCCAATGTTCTAAGGATAAGTATTAGCAGATAACTTAATAAATATCAGCATATATAATAATAACCATTTCTCATATATATTCTATTAATAATAATAAGTGCCTTGCTTCTTCGACATGCTATGATGGAGATTGATAATAACATCTCTTGGAGACAAATTATGATTCAAAATAGCAACAGAAAAAATATTTATATTCATTTATTTATTTTAATTTTTTTTAGAACTTGGTGTCATTACAAGGTCTAGTCTGTATGTTGTGCATAGGATTCGGGTTGTCAAATTATTGCCACAGTGCACCGTATGTTTTGAACTTTGAGCATCTATACGAAACAACGAGATTAAATATCTTTCGCTTTTTACATGCTACATATGTTCCTTTCTGAAACGTACAACTTAATTTTGATGTAGAAAGATAACATTTGATATACTTTTTACTACAAACTTGTTTCATAAGGCAGGCGCTGGTGTTATTCAAGAGATTTATGGCATATTCATTTGTCAATCTCTCTGCAAATTTCCTAAATGAGCATGTGAAAAACAAATATTGAACCAAGAAAGATTAATCAAACATGAAAGAGGGGGAAATGGAAATTAATTAGAAAAGTAACAACCCTTAATTTCATGCTAGATGGTATACCACCACTTTCCATCAATTAATTAACAAATTAAAATAAAGTGTACAAATATTGAAAAATAGAACACTCTTCTTCATAAGCCTATGGCGAAAGATAAATTTAATAAGAACCTTAAAGAGAACTCTCCAACCTTGTACCAAATTTTCATCAAATAACATGAAAATAGTGAAGCTAAAAATGATGGTGATGATGCTGAGCTTGACGATGAAGCTGTTGCATGAACTTAGATCTTCCTCCTTCGCCATTATTATATGGGCAAAAAAAGATGAAAGAAGGATGAAGAAGTGAGGAAGATGGAGAGGGACTTATATATAGAGGGAATGGGAGGGAAATAGGCCATTCTGAATACGATAAGGGTCGACCCATCCTTGGTGAAACAACTAATTATTGGGTAGATTTACAAGAAATCCCTTATCTATATCATATTTTCAGGAACCTTCTCATCTGAAAAGTTTAATGAAAAAACCCCTTATCAATGACTATCGTCGAAATTGTTAATTTCATATTGGAGTGCTCAGGGGTAAGGAAAACCATCACTTAGGAAGGCACATTCACTTCAGATCCATAGGACGACGAATTTTGTATAAACGAAAAAATTGATCTAGCCATTTCAGGATTTACACATGTAACAATTCTAAATGCCAAATTCCTTGCAAAAAAAAAAAAAAAAAAATCAATAGTGAGACTCTTGAAATTTTGAAATTTCTAAGGTCCCTCCATGACACTGAGTCTGTCCTGATTAAATATCCCAAATAATTGCAGTCCATCGTAGAGTGCAAAACAATCTTTTTTTCTATTAGCACCATTTTGGGTACTACGAAGACACGATTCATACTTGAGTATTAAAACTTGTTAGTTTGTTCTTTAGAGACAGTAACAAGATTCAGATTAATTTATAATACTCCACCAATTGTATTCATTGTTTCCATATCGTTTTTACATTTTTTTAAAGATCAAAGCATCGCCTAGACTTTCCACCATGACAATCGTAACCATTAATTAATTTTGTACATACTTGTGATTAATATTAATATAAGAAAAGAACTATCCATTTATTTCCGATAGTTGATACCCCTCTCATTCCTGTCCTTATATTTCACATAACCGCTGTCCCCATGCATGGATCTACTAGCATATATGTGACAAATTAACAAAGTATGTATATGCCTCTCTCTTTTTGAATAACAACAATCAACAAAGCTTTTATGTTATTGTTTTCTTGTGCGGAAAAAAACAGACAGAGAGATTCTCTCAAGAAACCTGCAGTGGTCCAAATATGAACAAGTTTGATCGTGAATGATAGTTTTACCCATATTTCAAATACACACTAAAAAGTAAATTTATAGCAGCATATTTATAATTATTTGGAAATATAATACATGCATGATTGATTAATATGCATTCATAAGTCTCTTTTAATCTCTTAATGGCT